AAGGCAACTATCAGCCTCAACAGGGGTTCGCTCCCCAAGCGCCACAAGGACCTGCCTCGGAACGCCTTCCGGCCAGGATATCGAGGCGGCACGAGCGGCTGCGGCGAGGGCGCCCCCGGCGGCAGAAATTGTATAAAAAAGCTCGTTCCTCCCCCGCCAAATTACTCTCCCTCCTCCTCCGACAGTCCACCACCACCGCCACCGCCTCATGGAGGATGGAGGCAGGCGGGGTCAGGGGTAGTGGTGGTGTGTGCCTTTTCGGTTGCCCTCGTGGGGCGTCCTGCACACTTGCATTCCGCAGATCAGCTCGTCCTGCACCCCGCTGGTGGTGGTGGTGGCGGTGGGCACGCTTGCCCAAGCGCGCACGCCAGTGCTAGGCTGTGCTAGGGGGACCACGGCGGGCCCTCGGGCGTGCACTTAGCGTGGGGTGAAGACACGTGGCGAGAACCCCCGGCTCGGAAAATTTGTGACGCCAGGACCCCAGTGTGCGCAATTTCTCGAGCCGGATCGAGCTGCGCGGGTCCCCGAGCCCGAGCCCCGGCGAAAACGCCACACTGGATCTCTGAGGGGCCAGCCGCCCGGGGGCGCCTCGCGCGCCCCCGTCGTCGTCGCCGCCGCCGCCGCTGCCGCCGCCGCCGTCGTCGTGCTCGTCGTCGTCGTCGCCGTCGTCGTCGTCCTCGTCGTCCTCGTCGTCCTCGTCGTCCTCGTCGTCGTCGTCGTCGTCGTCCTCCTCCTCCTCCTCGTCGTCGTCGTCCTCGTCCTCGTCCTCGTCGTCGTCGTGCTTGTCGTCCTCGTCGTCGTCGCCCTCGTCGTCGCCGCCCTGGTCGTCGTCGTCGTCGTCCTCGTCCTCGTCATCGTCCTCCTCCTCGTCCTCCTCGTCGTCGTCGCCGTCGCCGTCGCCGCCAGCTCCTCGGCGGCGCGGAGGGCGGGCCCGGGGGCGCCACCCGCGCCGGCGCGCCCCGCCGCGCGGGAGGAGCAGCGCCAAACTGCACGGGCGGAGGAGCGGCCGGCGCCCCCGCGCAGGGTCCGCGCGGCAAGAGGGGGCGCGGGGAGCCGGGGGAGGGCTGCGCGGGCCGGCGACCGCGGCCTTGCCTGCCTATTGCAAGGCGAGTGCTGCTGGGAGGTCTGCGTTGGGGAGGACTATAGGGAGGGTGAGGCCTCCACCAGAGGACTACGGGAAGGACTATGGGAAGGACTATGGGGAGATCTACCCTGACCTTCCAAGAGGGCTAGAAAATAGCACGCGTCTTAAAAGCCTATCCCAAAGCCAATATACGTCTTGGTTTTAGGCTGTTTCGCTCAGTTGTTTAGGTCTTTAGGCCTCCAGTGCTAAAAAATAGCTCTCTGGAAGGTCAGGGTATGGGGAGGGTGAGGCCCCCACCGGAGGACCGCGGCGCCGGACTGGGCCGCGGCCTCGGGATCAGGCCAGAGTGCACGGGACCAAGCCGGATGGAGCGGGGCTGGGCCGGATTGAGCCGGATTTTGGGGAGCGGGGAGCCAGGGCGGCTGCGCGGTCCGGCGACCACGACCTTGCCTCAAAGAGGCAAGTACCGGGAGGTCTTCGGAAGGACTACGGGGGATTAGGCCCCCACTGGGGGGGGCGCTACGCCGGATTCGGCCGCGGGTTGAACGGGATCAGGCTGGATTCCACGGGATCAAGCCGGATGAAGCGGGATTGTGAGCCGGATAGAGGCTGGATTTTGACCTGGGCAAAATCAAACAAAAATGACCTCCCAAGAATTGCATCCGAACCTGCCCTTCCGATCTTCATACTTCTCCGGGGGAACTGTCCGGAAGCAGGAGGGCCCACATCCCAAGATGCGGACGCGGATGCCGCATCCACACCCACACTTGCACGCATAGTGGAGGATGACGATTAATAAATGACCAATGTTGGGGTTCACGCAGCGGCGCCCGGGACGACGATTAGAAAAAACCGGCCGCGGGCTGGAAAACTATTTTTTAATCGTTCTCCTCCAGTCAGAAAATTGTGTAGAAATCGCAGAATACTATTTTTTAATCGTTCTCTCCCATTTTTATTAACCGCTATCCTGCATTACTGAGACCTGAGTTCCACATCTCTGGGCATCGCATGGGAGAGAGGTGACAGCGACAGCGGCACGCAATGCGGCTGCGCGGGCCCGCGGCGGCGAGCTGCCCAGGCCCCCAGCTCCAGCTCCAGCGCAGCAGGGAGCCCTTGAGGGCAAGGTCCAGCGGGGATGGGCTCGAGCTTCGAGGAGGAGGAGGAGGAGGAGGAGGGAGGAGGGAGGAGGAGGTTTTCGGCCGTCTTCGTCCCAGCCATGCTCGCGTCCTGCAAGAATCGGGACGGGGTTCCTTCGCCAGTTTCGGCCCCTTGGGGCCCTCGCTGGGACCCCCGGGCCGACAGAAAACAACTCGCGACGAGAAGCTGGCCCCTGGGAAGGGATCGGGATCTCCGGGAACCCCGCTTGGAAAAAAAAACAAGACATCGCAGAATTATCTGGGCCAGGCTCAGGGGGGCTGGAAAGGCTCGGGTTTCTAGGTTTTCGGACGTTTTTTTTTTTAATGTACGCAATCTATATATATATATATATATATACGCACATCAAAAAATGATGATGCTCTCCATCAGCTGCGCCTCGCCGAGAGGCATCCAAGGGTGCCGGGATGGTCCCGAACGGCCGCCAGAGGTCCGAGTTGGACTCGAAGACCGCAGCTCCGGGACGCACGACGTGCGAGGCTCGGCTACGGAGACGCCTGGCGCTCCAGCTCCAGCGCGGAAGTCTCGGGAGGGGGAGATGCGGCCCACGACCCCCGGGCGCCGGGACAGGAGTGCGACCTAGGGGGGTTCGGGCGAGGCTCGGCCTCTGCGGCCCCTGCCAGGGCCCCATGACAAGCATAACGAAATCAGGACGAAGACTCTGTCCCGGGGAGGGGTCGAGACCGGAGGTCCACGTTCGACGCTGAGGAAACAATCACGACGTCGGGGGCCAGGGTCTCAGGACGCACGCCGTGGGCTTCCTGATCTGAGCTCCGAGGGCTCGGCGTGCGAAGTGTGGGTCGCTCGATGGCAGCATTGCAACGGTTTTTGTCCTCGATTCCGATCCCTGGAAGCGATTTTTGGGCGCCGGGGCATTCACGAAATGATCCAGGACGAAAGCTGGGCCCCGAGAAGAGGTCGGGTCTTCTGGGGCCACGTGCTTTGTCCGCACGAGAACTAAACAAACGTCTTGCCGCCGCAGCACGGCAGAGGCAATTCGCACGGGCGCTCGCAGGAGCCGGCGACGCACGACTGGGGAGTTGTCCGGACGCAAAAGCTGGGGAGACGTGCATCAGACTCGGGCTCGGGGGACTCGGGCTGGCCTGACGGGGCCACCATGAAAATGACGAGACCCAGCCTAAAAGGTGGCGCGAGCTCCCGCTGCAAGCATCCCGCGGAATCCGGAGCGTCAGAATCCGGGGCACGCCCGTCAAACAGCGCCGGCAGACCCGAGTTCTCTTGCTTACTCGAGTCTGACGTTCCCCCGACAGGGGGGACGGGGGAAGGCGGAGCGGCGGCGGAGGGGGCGAAGGGGGGGGGGGAGAGCACTAACAGGCGAAAGAGGTGCATGGCGAGCAGCAGGTTACAACGAGCAAGCACACACCACGTCGGAGGTCTGGGCAAGAGTTCGATGCTGCAGAGGCGGTAACTCCTAGGAGGTCTCGTGCACGATCCCCCCCCCGCGCTGAGCAAGTTGGAGTGCCCATGGGCCTTCCTCCGTCTTCGGCGGCATTCTGCGGACATTGAGTTATGTGAGCCTTCATGGTAGCCTCTGTGGACCTGCGCGGCCCTCACAAACGCGCTTTCAACTGGACATCGTGTGGACTTCGACCAACCCTTGTTACCTTCTCGTCCAGACTTCGTCCAGATTCCGTCCAATTCCGATGAGATCTGGACGAGATCCCCCAAACCGCATGCAATGTTGGGCCATGAAGGACCACACAATTTGAGGGGGGCAGGGAGGGGAGGGCACCGACCAGAAAGCACGGACGCTGCGCACTGCCCGCGCGAGGAGGCTGGGCCCGGCCGCCGCCAACGCAGCGTCCCGGGGCCATGCTCGAGCAGAGGCAAGGCACAAATCTGGCCGGGCGTCCGCGGCGCTGTTTCTGCAGAGCTCCGCGCACCGCCTTCTCCTGCGTTCCCTGCATCTTCCTTGCTGTCCCCCCGCTGGAGCCCGCAGGCACCCGCTCATCCCCTCCCTGCCACCCACCCTCCCCCCGCTTCCTTTCCCTTCCTCTCTCCCTCTCTTCCCTGCATCCTCTCCTCTCCTCCCTTCCTCTTTTCCCTGCATCCTCCTTCCCCTCCCTGCCCCCCCTCCTGCCCCTCTTCCTTTCCTCCGTCTCCCCCTCGCTCCCCCTCTCCCTTCCCCTTCCCCATGGGCCCCCCTCCTCGCCCCCCCTCTCCCCTGCACCTCTTCCCCCGCATCCTCTTCCCCCCTTCCCGGCATCCTCTCCCCTTCAACTTTTCCCCTTTGTCCCGGCCTCTCCCCTTTCGGGAGCGGCCAAGAGGGGGGTGCCCAAGAGGGGGGGGTGCAAACCATGCCCGGCGGCACGTGCGCGGCCCCGCGGGGGGGCCAGGGACGTAATGAGACAAGAAGAGGCGCCATGAGATCTGGGGAAACATCATGGCCCCCGCCATGATATCCCCCCCCTGGTCATCACCCCCCTCTCTTCCGCCCCCGAGTGGTCGAGCTCGGGGGATCCTCCTCCTCCTCCTCCTCGTCTCCTCCCCCTCCTCCTCCCCCTCCTCCCTCCCTCCTCCTCCTCCTCCTCCTCCCCCTCCCCCTCCTCCTCCTCCCCCTCCTCCTCCTCCTCCTCCTCCTCCTCCTCCTCCTCCTCCTCCTCCTCCTCCTCCTCCTTCTCGAGCCGCAGCGCCGACGCATCGCCCCCGACCCTCGGAGGGTGCGCGCAGCAGGCGGGGCCGCCAGGCCCCTCGCTAGAAGCGTGCGGGGCGCGCCGTGGTTCTGGGAGTGGCCCCGCGACTACGGCGGCGCCTGCGGCCGGCAAGGGGGGGGGGATCATCATCATCATCATCATCATCATCATCATCATCATCATCATCATCATCATCATCATCATCAGCATCATCATCATCATCATCAGCACAGCATCATCATCATCATCATCATCATCATCATCATCATCATCATCATCATCATCATCATCATCATCATCATCATCCGCCTCCGCTTCCGCCTCCGCCTCCTCCTCCTTATCCCCCTCCTCCTCCTCCTCCTCCTCCTCCTCCTCCTCCGCCTCCTCCTCCTCCTCATCGTCCTCCTCCTCCTCCTCCTCCTCCGCCTCCTCCGCCTCCTCCGCCTCCTCCTCCTCCTCCTCCTCCTCCTCCTCCTCCTCCCGCGGCTGCACCTGTGCGCCGCCCCCTGTGCTCCATGGACTTACCAGCCAGGAGCATACCCCATCCCTATGCTGGGCACCTCCTCATCACGGTGCCAATCTTGGGGGGTCCCTCATTTTTTGAGGGCGAATCCCTGAGATTGTCATCGCCTTTGGGCGTGTCGATCTTAGGGGTAGGGATACGTTTTCGAGGCTGGTAACACACTTCCTCGCGCCGACGGGTCACCGCTGTCGTTGCCGTGCTTGCTTTGCTATCGGCACTGCCGCTGGTTAGTCAGCGTTGCTGCGGGTATTGCGCAGCTGTCGTACAGTCGGGGCGTTGACCTAAGGAACCCTAAATGAAGAAAGAGGCCCCTTTTTGTCCATGAGTTAAACTCCGATTTCCCGTCGGAAACCTAAGGGAACCCCGAGGCAAGCTGTGAGACACTTAAGGAACGCGGAGCCTCTCCCCAACCAAAAGGGTTCCTTCTTCAGCGCACCGACTGTACTCCACGGACAGGCGTCGTTGAGAACCTCACACTTCCTCGCGCCGACGAGTCACCGCTGTCGTTGCCGTGCCTGCTCTGCTACCGGCACTGCCGCTAGTTAGGTAGTGTTGCTGCGGGTATTGCGCAGCTGTCGTATGTGACTCTGCCCCGATGGCAAGCGCGATTCGGGCCGATGCTGGCACAATTTGCTGTGACTGCACTCGTGATGGTACGATGCCGGCACCAAGGCACACTGCATTCGCTTACCACACTGTCTATCACTACGGTGCAGAATTCCGTTGCCTGGTTTGTTGAGGCAACCACAGATATTGCTGCGGCCATTGTCCTGCATGCGTTTGTGGCCGCATGTACTATCATGAACCACTGTTGTATGACTGTCCGTGCGATGAAACGTGGGTCCAGTTTCATGATGCCTGTTCCTTGCTACCACCTGTTTGCAATCGAATATGTCATTGCTGGCCTTGCGGCTGGGATCAAACTAGACGTAGTTTTCGCTGCTGCCGTCGTTCGTATTATTCGTGGTCTCAGTGGCCTCGCGTCTCCAGCTGGCGCTGCGACTGCTATCACCAGATCATGGCAAATGCTACAGCTGTTCCAACGGCTGCTATGGATACGGTTGCCACCTCCGTAGTGACATGATGTTGTACCTGGGCGTGGTAGCATTGGTCTTGACGATGGTTCCTTGCCCAAATCAAAAAAAACGCATTCAGGGGACGAGTCGCAAGCCCGATCAAATTACACCCCTGCGTAGCGACAATATCGGCCGTAGACACGTAAATGATGAACATGGTTTGAGAGACACGAAGCTCTGCTAAGTTGTTGTACGTATACTTGTTCGGCATATGCGTCGTCGCCTGTGCGGCAACATGTGTACCCATACCTTTGCGACACAAGCTTGGCTTCTGCGTACGTACTTTGGCGAAACCTTATATATGTATATATATATAAAATAATAATAATAATAATAATAATTTTTTTATATATATAAAAAAAAAAAAAAAAAAAAAAAAAACGCGCCAGACTCCGCGGACCTCAAACAAGTAAGTGACTGCACTGTGAATATAAAAGCGATGTGGCAAAAACCATGTGGTGCAAGCTACGTAACTCAAGCTATGTGGTGTACGCTACGAGGTGCAAGCCATGTGGTGTAAGTTATGTGGCGCAAGCTGTACGTTGCAAGCTATGCGATGCAGGCACAAGCTGTGTGGCGCACGCTGTGCGATGCAATTTACGTGGTGCGGGCTATGTGGCACAAGCTGCGTGGCGTGGGCTCTGTGGTGCAAGCTATGTGGTGCAAGCTATGTGGCCATGGCCATGGCTACGTGCGGAAGCTACGAGGCGCAAGCTGCGGTGCAGGACGCGTGGTGCAAACTGCACAACCGCTCAGCGCACGAGGCGCCCACGAGGCGCCCACTGGCGGGCACCGGGCGAAGCTTCGGCCCACCCACCCAGCGCACGAAGCGCCCACGAGGGGCGCCCACGGGCGGGCGCCGGGCGAGGCGTCGGCCCACCCGCCCAGCGCACGAGGCGCCGCGGCAACCCCCCCCCGAGCCGCAGCGTCACGGGCGCCCACGAGGCGCCCGCGGGCAGTCGCGGCGAGCGTCGACGCTGCGAATCGCGTAGCAGGAATGGAACGCGGCGCACATCGCGAGGGGACGCCTGCTCGCCAACATGGACCTTCTTGTCGTCGACGCTGCGGCCCGTCGGGTTGAAGAGCTGGGCGGGCGGCTCACCCAATCACTCGCCATCGCTCAGACGTGCACTGCCTGTGTTTTTTGTCGGTTTCGTGCGTGGTTTTGTCGCCAGATGATCAAGGATGCTCCTCGATTGTCCTCGCCGACGGAAAAATGCACAAGTCCGAGCGATGCCAAGATCAATTCCTTTTTGTTCCTCCTTCTCCAGCATGGGTGCTGGCCCGGCGCCGCCGTCAATCCGCTCGCGACGGCACTCGCAGCGGGCGCCCGTAGACGAGCCGCAAGGCCGCGAACCGGGCCCGCGAGCGCCCAGCGGGGGCCTCGCCAGCGCCCAGGCCGGGTTCCGCGCCAGGGAGAGCCCCTAGTGCAAGCACTGTTTGGGGAATCGTGCGAGGCAGATGCTCACGATAGCTTTCGACTGGCCACGCGTCGAGTTCTGGTGCCAGGCACCTGGGGCACGCACACGCTCAGGCCCAGACGCTGGACTACGAGGTCTCAAACAAGTTACGCCCCTTCCCCCTTCGTCCAGCTCTTCCCCCTGCTCCTCCATCCGTATCCGCCCCCCCTCCCCTCCCCATCCTCACAACCCGCCACTCCCCCTCCCCCTTCCCTCTCCCCCTCCACCGGTTCCTCCTCATCCTCCTCCTCCAACTCCTCCTCCACCTCATTCTTTCTCATCAGCAACTTCATTCACCTTCTCCTCCTCCTCATTCTCCAAATCCCCCTCCACCTCCTCGCCCTCACCCGCCCAATCCTCCCTTACTCTCTCTCTCTCTCTCATCTCCTCCTCTCCCCCAACATAGTCCCCATCGTCATCTTCATCCTCTTCATCCTCATCATCACCATCATCGTCATCATCATCATCATCCTCCTCATCATCATCATCGTCGTCGTCGTCGGCGTCGACATCGTCGTCGTCATCACCTTCTCGCCGTCGCCGTCCTGTCTCTTCAACCCCCTCTCCCCTCCGTCTCTGCACGTTCCAGCCGCGTCATCTAGCGGCGGATCCGGCCATGGCGACCAGGGCTTCCCCAGAAGAGGCAAGAGTCTCAAATGCGCATCCCCTGGGTGTGCGAGCGAAGGGGGGAAAGCTACAAAGGGGGCCTATAACGGGGCTCAGGCACACACACATACAAATAAATAGACACAAATCTTGTCCTATAATATGTTCTGGGCTTTCGTCTTCTCCCCCACTACCCATATTTTCACAAAGTTTCCTGAGGGTCGATGACTAATGGAAGATGACGATTAATAAATGACCGGTGGTCGTGTTCACGCGGCGGCGCCCGGGATGACGATTAGAAAAAAACCGGCCGCGGAATCGTTCTCCTCCAATCGAAAAATTGTGCAGAAATAGCAGGAAACTATGTTTTAAATCGTTCTCTCCCATTTTCATTCATCGCCATCCCGCATTACTTGTGTCTGTGCGTTTTCCCCCTCCCGGAACTTATAGCCAGCTGGAGGCAGCGGGTGTCCCTGTAGCCCCTCCCGACGACGGGAGCCCCAGGGTGCCCAGAGGAAGCTGCCGTGCGACGGGGCCCGCGCTGCCTGCACCCGGAAACTTGCCCTAACCTTTCCATCCTCCTCCTCCTATTCCTCCTCCTCCTCCTCCTCCTCCCCCTCCTCCCCCTCCTCCTCCTCCTCCTCCTCCTCCTCCTCCTCCTCCTCCCCCTCCTCCTCCCACTCCCCCTCCCCCTCCTCCTCCCCCTCCCCGGCGGCCGCGAGCACGGCTGGCTGGGCGCGCGGGCCACCGGGGGGAGTGGAGGATCGCTCCTGTTTTGCCCGCGCGAGGGGCCGACCCGTGGCCTCGGAGGATGAGGAGGGCCGGAGAGGGCGGGAGGGCTGGGCCCCCCCCTGGCGGCGCTTCTGGCGCCGCCCTTGTTGTTTTGTTTGTTGATGTTGTTGTTTGTGGTTTTAGGGTTTGGGGTCTATTTTTTTTGTGTATTTCGGGTTCAGTTTTTTTTTTTTTGTTTTTAGGGTCTATGATAGGGTTTGTTTGTTGTTGCTTTGTTGTATGTTGTTGTTAGGGTTTAGGTTTTAAGGTTTGGGGTTTAGGGTTTAGGGTTTAGCGTCCACTAGCCCAAACTCGCAGCCTGTTGGACGTGTCCCGCCCACCCATGACCCAAGACATATAAATCTCAAAACGACTACGACGTTGACGATATCTATTACGACGACGACGATACTGATCTCAAAACGACGACGACGACAACCCGACGACGACACCGTGTCGCTGGCGCTGGGCCGAGCCCTCCACCGCGTCACGGCGGAATCGTAGCGATGCGTTGAGACCCGGCTTGCGCCGCTCACCACCGCCGCCCACCGCGGCGCCCCCAGAAAAGCGTCGACGAGGCGCAGCTGCGCCTTCCTCCGGGAGCTTCTCGGCGAGAGGCTCCCGAGGGAGGGGGGCTTCTGGGCGGCCGTGGTCGTCCTGCCGCGCTGGCTCCGTGGCGCTTGAGCGCGCCGCGGAGTGTCAGCGCGACGGGGCGGGCATAGCCGCTCGGAAACCCAGGGGGTCCAGCCTCCACGGGGCGGCCCCTGGGGAAGGGCACAGGGGCGGAGCTCAACCAGAAAGGGTCGAGGTCGCGCCCGTACCTTTCGCAAAGGACTAACGACGCCATGTCTGGCATTCCGATGCCAGCATCTCCTCCCAGAACGCCATTCCTGGCACTCCGAGGCCAAGAATCTGCGTGAGGGGTGCGCCGAAATGGGGGGCGGCATAAGGGGCGGCCGAAGGGCGGCCGTGAGAGCTTCAGGATTTCAATATTTATAGGCTCTTTTCAATATTTATAGGCTCTTAGTCCTTAGGGTTAAGGGTCCAACGCCGCAGACCCGGGAACTCCGCGCGGAGATCCAGAAGTCTACGTGTTGGCTGTTTTTGTCCCTCGAGGGGGGCCGGAGTGTCCAGCTCGGACCCCGGCGGACCTTGGCAGCACAACCAGCCGGGCTGGCCGCCGGGGTGCGCCGAAACGCTCTGCCTCCCCAGACCCCCGACACCATTTTTCTCCAAAACGTCGACCCCCCGAAGGTCTCGACCCTTTCCCTGGGACCGTTTTTTTCATCCTGAGTCGTTTTTGTGACAGTCTGGGGGCCCTCACCAGGCCTCGGGAGTGAGAACAAACAGCTCAGGATGAACAACTGGTCCTGGGAAATGGGTCGAGACCTTTTGGGGTCGATGCTATCATTCTTATTTTCATCCGCATTATCATGTTTAGTATCATTCGTATTGTTCGTCTTATCTTGGTGTTTCTTGGAAACGCCCTGGGCGTTTCTAGCCAACAGCGGGCACCTGGAAACGATTTAAAGACGGACCCTGGAAACTACCCAAAAACCTTTCCACGCGATCAGTTGGAAACTAGCTTAGAACGAGCCAGCGCAAGCTGGGAACGGTAAAGAAACGGCTCCCTGAGCACTATGAAAAAAACGGGTTGGTGAACAAGCGACGCAAAACGAGAGTGCCGATGATAATGAATACGGGGCGGGCGGCGCAGCGGGCATCAACAGCAACGAGCAGTAGCAGCAGGCAGTAGCAACAGGCAGTAACAGCACCAGGCAGCACAGGCGGAAGGTGGCGGCTGCAGCGGGCGGGAGGTGCAACAGAGAAGCTGTTTGGAGAGAGCGTCGAGCTCGTATCGTGCGTTACCTGTCATTCGCACGTTTTTCAATAGTTTCTGGATCCTGTCTGTTGGTCTGTGTCGCTCAACGTCAATCCAAGATAACATGTTCTTTTTCGTTTCCAACTTCTTTTTTTCATCGGTTCCAGGTCTGCTTCGCAACGTGCTGTGTTATATCAGGTATTGACAGGCAGCCCACGAGAAGAGCTCGACACGCTCTCTCCAAAAGCTTCTCTGCGCTCTCATCGTGCGTTGCCTGCCAATCGCTGTCCGATCCCGTGCGCGTCAGAGCCGCAGACATCGTCAGTGTCGTAATGGCGGCGTCGGTGTCGCAACGGCGGCCTCATCGGCGGCGGCGACGTCCTCACTGTTTCCGCTTCTCCTGGGCCAAGGGTCGAAATTGCCTGGTTGAGACCGTTTGCAATACGTTTCCAACACGCTTTCGCGTTTGAATGAAAGCTGGAAGCTATCATTAACAATAGTAAGAGTATGAACATATATTTATATAGGTGTATATATATATATATATATATGCATACACACAAAAGCCCAGGGCGTGTCCAAGACACACTCAGAGTAGCATTGCTGTTGTTACTGGTAGCGCTGATATCTTTTCCAAAACAATGACGTCGGGGGTCTGGGAGAAAAAGGCCCTCTGCGGAGGCCGACAGCTCCCAAACATGCCCCGGCCGGGTTGTTTGTTGTTGTGCGTTTTGTTTGTTGTGCACCCTGCGAAATGCTTAAGAAATCATGGGTTAAGAAATTCATAGTCTCAGAATTTAACTAAAACCCAGAAATTATATCAAAATCTTGGGAATTAAATTGAAACATTAAGAATAATCGAGACCATGGCCGAAAATTTAAGTCTTCTTGAGCACCGCCTAAGGTGTACGCGCTGCAGTGCTATGGGCTATGGGAGGCGCCGCGGAGAGACGCCTGGCGACTGGGAGCAAAACTGCCCCCGATCGCCTGTCTCCCCCAGACGGAACGCCGGCCGCGACTGCCAGCCGCGCATCCTCCTCCTCCTCCTCCTCCTCCCTCCTCCCTCCTCCTCCTCCTCCTCCTCCTCCTCCGCCTCCGCCTCCGCCTCCTCCTCCTCCTCCTCCTCCTCCTCCTCCTCCTCCTCCTCCTCCTCCTCCTATCGAGAAAGGTAGGCTCCGAAGCATGAGGGCCATACCGCCTGATCTGGCGACGGATCGCGCCGATTCTGCACGAAATCGGGGGCCCGTCGCTAATCCACGCGCCTTGGCCCATGTTTGAGTACAAATTGGTCCACGGGGAGAGGCGCGCTAGCACCTGCAATCGTTGGTGATCCGATGCAACATCGTGCGGGCTGGATGCAATAGTTGCCCGTGCATGTAATTGTGCAACATGTTTGCACACGCAGCCGTTGCCTCCCAGGAGGAGAGGGAAGAGGAGGAGGAGGAGGAAAAGGAGGAGGAAGAGGAGGAGGATAAGGAGGAGGGGGAGGAGGGGGGGAGGGGAGGAAGAGGAGAACGGGGAGGAGGCAGGGGAAAAGGAGGAGGAGGAGGAACACAGTGCGCCCCCCCGGCCGTAGCAGCTGCGCACCCGTGCGCACGAGGGCAGCAGCTGTCAGCGACTGCGCGACGGCGCCTCTCGCCGCCGACCCACCACTCCAGCTTGGATCTTCCCGGACTGCGAACGGAGGGGCAACGACAGGGGGGGAGGCTGCCCAGGGGCGGGGGGAGCATCGACCTGGCATCGGCGATGCATCGCCGATGGATCGGCGATATAGGCCCCCGATTGCAAATCCCCGTGTCCCCGGGCGATTTGAAGCTGTCAAGTCCCTGTCGGCGAGCAACGGGCGATGTGGGGTCGATGCCCCCCCCCATGCCCATCCGGTCGTTCCGCTACCCCTGATAAGCCTCCCGCCCCCTCCTTCCCAGTTCCTCCCTTGCGGGGGCCGCCTTGCCGCCCGCCGCCGCCCGCAGCATGCCCACGACGGCGGCCCGGTCGCGGACCTGGCAGGCCAGGCAGCGCCAAGGGGGGTCACCACTCAGGGGGCCGCCGCTTCCCCGAGGAAGCGCCACAACGAGTCAGAGGACCGACCCCTCCTTAATTTAATGTTTCGCTTCGCGGGCTGGCCACTCCCATTCCCGCTCCTATTCCCACTCCCGAACACGGCGCAGACACTCGACTGTAAAGCGGACGCAACAATCATCGCGAGTGTGAAAGAGAACAAACGGTGCGCCCGCCGACTGTAAAGCAGAAATCGAAGCGTCCGATCGGGAAGCAGGGCATGAGCGCCCCACACATTCAGAACACACGGAGAATGGAAGAGGCGGGAAAGGAAGGGGGAATAAAAAACTCTGCGACGGGCCGCGCAACGCCGTCGAATGCCGCTGGGCGAATGCGCAGCGAGCTGGCCCTCGTCAGAAGAGGGAGGGCGGGAGAAGGAGGAGGAAGAGGACGACGAGGAGGAGGATGCGGAGGAGGAGGAGGAACAGAAAGAGGAAGAGGAAAAGGAGGATGAGGAGGAGTAGCACTGGCTGAAAGAAAGGAAATGGTTTGGCCGACCCGACCCAAGCCACTGCCTTAACCCATCCTCCCCAGGGCGGCAACAAACAAACAAAGAGACGATCACTCGATTCTGGCACCTTGGCTGAATGCTCGAATTGATTTACGTCGTCTAGCTTCGACCCTCAACATAGCTTCGGCCAGGAAGTGGGTGAAGGCGGGCGAAATACATGCCGAGGGAGAAGCCCGACAAACCTGGAAACAATTATGCATTCAATCTGCCGCAACAAATTGAAATAAGAGAGACTCACGAGAGGAAGCACAAAAAACATATGAGGCAAGATGGAGTTCAGAGGTTCACACGCCCACCCAGAGGGAAGCCACGGAATAACTCCACAAACACGCTCAGTAAGAATAGGGCACGTCGAATAATGCAGCAGATCATCTCCGCCCACTGCACAACAGCTGAAACCACATACCTGGACGGACTGCCTGAATCTCCTTGTGGTGTTCCACTCATTAAAGAGCGTTTTTAAGCAAGCCGCGGGGGCAGATCCAGGGAGACGGGCACCAGCAACATTAATCCGAACAAAAGTGAAGGGGCACATCGGCCCGAGAAACACCAGGGATCCATTTAGCACGCCGGGGAAAATAACATCCTCGGCCGTGGGAACATCGCACTGGCGACCAGGATTAACAAGTGTCATAGCCCTGGCCTGTACTCACCTCCTTGGGCATTCTGGAAACGTATGGATGTGGAAGAAGGCGCCATGCACCTGCCACATCCAGAAGAGCAGAGATTCACCAGCTAGGGCAGTGAACTTCCTTGATATTGACTTCATCAGACGAGGCAAACTCCTGCAGAATATTCATCAACTCGTGAAACTTGGGCGGGTTGATGGCGGCACGGAGCAAACAGGCACCTGAGAATACCTCCAGCCTCCTCGCTTCAACCTCATGGCCGAGATCGCGGGGTTGGTGGAGGGCTTGGGGAGGGAACGAAAACCGCGAAGCACATGTCAGTCTCTGTGATGCATTTCCATCATCTTCACGAACATGTTGCATGCTGACCACGGGCAATGCGTACATGTTGCATGCTGTGGTACTGAACGAGAGCCCCCCACCAAGCTGTTTCACTTGTGAGGTACGACGCGCGAGAGCGTTAATAACCATATTCCAAGACTCCTCCCGCCCACCAACACCCAAGAATACCCCCAAGTATTTCCCATTGCCTGTAATCTTAAATGTCTTGATGTTCACTCCAAGTGTCTTGAGATCTGGCATAACAGTTGCTCGGAACCTCTGATTAGGAATGAACAAGACGCGCTTGGCTAAACTTAACACGAGCCCAGTCGCAAAAGCACTGCTCGCGAGCACTGGTAAAATGGTAGGTAAACATTGAAGCACATCCCTGCGTGCAATAACAATATCGTCGGCAAAGGCTCTCATAGAAATGGGCAGCTCAGTGCACCTGCGTCGGATCCGAGCGATGACAGGGTTGATGCACATAGAAAACATCAGGCCAGAAATCGGACACCCCTGCTTTACACTCCTCGTAAGATGAATACATACAGGATCACGCCCATGAAAACTGATACCCTTTCTCATGCTGGAGTAGATTGGCCGGATCGCGCGGCGCACGTGCATGGGAAGGTTCATCTTCTTGAGCACCGCCCAGGCGCACTTGCGCAGGACACTGGGAAATGCGTTTCTGATACCAAACAGCGCAGTTCCAAACCTGGGGCAGGTATCCATAACAGCCCACCGGAGAAACGCAGCATCCAGGGAAAACACGCTGTCCAGAAACTCGCGACCTTTGACAAATCCTTTCTCGCAGCCCTGCGCAGTGTCCTCCACAATCTTGCTGGCAGCGAAGGCTACACAGCTGCTGACAATCTTAGTGTCGGATTTGCTCAGAAAGAGAGGCTGCGTACAGGCAGGTGTTCTGGCACTATTATCACCGCCAGTGCAATCCTGGAAAAGAATGACGCCACGAGCATCATGAAAGTCCGGCGGCGACTGACCTACTTGCATCAGCATGAGGTATACCTGGCATTATACATGTTGACCACCTTCTCCAGCAGTCTTCCATGAAGCATAAGGGGCCCCATCAGGACAAGGAGCCGTATCTTTTTCCAATTCAGAATATCCAGGAAAACACTCAGAAACCACCCAAGGATAAGAACTTTGTCATTCCCACAACATGAAACCCATGAGTAGGAATAGGAACAATTTCTGAGCATATATCAGCTATACCTTCATCAGGTGCATCAACTTCCTGAAAAACTCGGCCCCAATGCTTGGCCTCCTCCTCCTCCTCCTCCTCCTCCTCCTCCTCCTCCTCCTCCTCGTCGCGTTGCGAAAAAACACGACGGGAGGTTTTTCGCTATTTTCGGTCTCCGGAGGCCCTCTGCGGGCCTCGGGGCCGTCAAAAACCACAGACTCACGCATGATGAAACACCGGTCCTGGGGAAGGGGTCCAGATATCTAGGGGTGGGTCGACGTCGTAACATACGTCACGATGTCGGGGGTCTGAGGAGACACGCCACCGCCAGGGCCGGCCCCGGCCCAGCCACGGCCCCAGGGCCGGTGCCGATGCGCCCTCTTGCCATGGCCGGCGGCATGGGCGCCGATCGGGGGCCCAATGCGCAGCCCCGGGGCGTTCCCACCCACCCACCCCTGGTTGTAGTCTGGCACCCCGGAGCGACGTGGGGGAGAAGAGAAAACACGCCGGAACTGAAACCATCAACGCATCGTCGGGAAAAAAAGGTGAGGCATGGAGGAGGAGGAGGAGGAGGAGGATGAGGAGGAGGATGAAGAGGAGGAGGAGGAGAAGGAGAAGGAGGAGGAGGAGGAAAAGGAGGAGGAGGGGAAAGAGGAGAAACAAAGCTGAGGGAGAAGACTGAGAAGCAGGCGGGAGGAGGACAAAGAGCGGGAGACAGAGGGAGAGGGACGAGAGGGAGGAGGCGGAGGAGGCGGAGAGGGAGGGAGGGAGGGAGGGAGGGAGGAGAAGGAGGGGGAATGAGGCAGAGGAGGAGGGGGAGGCGAAGAGGAGGGCGGGGGGAGGGAGGAAGGACCGGGAGGCGATCCGGGCAGAGCGCGCGGCCCCCCCCCGCAGAGGACCCCTTCGACGTCCACGCCCAGCAGCCAGCACAGGCGGCGGAGCTCCCTGGCCGGCGCGCCCTGGGCGCGGCCAAGGAGGAGGAGGAGGAGGAGGAGGAGGAGGAGGAGGAGGAGGAGGAGGAGGGGAGGAGGAGGAGGAGGAGGAGGAGGAGGTGGAGGAGGAGGAGGGAGGGAGAGGGTGGAAAAGGAGGAAAGGGAGGAGGAGGAAGAGAAGGAGGAGGAAGAGGAGGAGGAAGAGGAGGGGGAGGTGGCGGGCACACCTCTTTTCCCTCTTCATTTGCACGCGCCCGTGGCACGGGCACGCACACACACACACACACACACACACTTCGTGCGTCGTCGGCTGGGCGGAGTGATTGCGCTGGCAGAAGAGCAAAGCTGGACGAACAAGTGCGAATTAAGCCGCAATGCGCGGGGGAAGGAGGAGGAACGCCCGGCGACAGCGGGGGGGGAGGAGGAAGCGGGGCCCGTTCACTGCGGGGCCAGGTTTCGTGCTCCCACACACACCCACACACACACACACACTTCGTGGGGGGCCGAGGATGGGGAGAAATTGGGAGGATCGGGAAAAGAAAAAGCACGGGCCATGGAGGCACAGGCCTCCCTTGGTGTACCAGGCCACCAACGCGTGGCGGTCACCGCCCAGGGCGGCCGCGGGCCGCCAGCCTTTTCCATCTTCTACAGGCTCCCATTCGATCCCCCCCAAGAGGTGACCGCCTCTTGGCGGGGTGGGGTATCATCCCCGCGAAAACGCACACACCAGCAGCGCCAGCGCCTTGAGAAGGAGCAGGAGGACGGGAAAGAGGAAAGAAATGAGGCCGAGAACGAGGAAGAGGCCGAGGAGGAGGAAAAGGGGAGGAATGATGCCGAGGAGGAGGAGGAGGAGGAGGAGGAGGAGGAGGAGGAGGAGGAGGAGGAGGAGGAAGAGGGGGAGGAGGAGGGGGAGGAGGGGGAGGAGGAGGAGGAGGAGGAGGAGGAGGGGGCCGTGGCGGGTCTCCGACGCTGCGGGCGAGGCGCCACCAGGGCTCGGCTAACCAAAAAGGGGGGGCGCGTGGCTTGCCCGCCGCGGAAAAACGCGTCGCGGCGGAACGGGCGCCTATTGAGATCCAGCCGCGCGTGCCCCACTTCGCACGGCTTGAAATCGCTCCCCACCCCCCATGTTTCCGAGATCGCCCACATCATCTGGCGGGGGGTGAGGGAGGGAGGTGCTGGCCGATAGCCAAACCTTGTCGTTCTGGGCAACCCCATGCGTTGAAGTCCAAGGCTATGGTCGTGAAGTTCGCGATGCTGCAACTATTTCGCTCAATGTCGCTCAAGTTTGGGCCCCCGAAATCTCACGGTCAATCTGGCTCGAAACATTCAGCGGACAGATGAAGTCCAGGGTTTCGGTCGCGACCGTGCCTGATGCTGTATTGGTGTCGCGACGTCGGACGTCAGGGCCGTGCACGATGCCGACAGGAGAGGATTTCCATATCCACACCCTCGCGGTCTGGCCTCCAGGGCGCGGCCCCGGGGGGCTGCACAGATCAGGCTCCGCGCCGAGACAGACGCGGGGTCCCCTCTCCCGAGGCCTGGACCGCGAGGCCGTGGATATGGATATGACACCCGGCTCATATGATACCCGACTCCACACGGGGCAGGGCGGGGGGGGGGGGGCGAAAAGAAGTATCGTAGTGTTTGGGCGGCTCCCTCACTCACTTCACTCGCGTGCAGCCCGCCTCCAGTCCGCATCATCCCTTCCTTTCCCTCTCTCCGGACAGCTTTTCCTTTCTCTCCCTTTCCTCCTTCCTCCCCCCCCTACCCAAACCTCCCTCCCACGTGTTTCTCCCCATCCTCGACGGGGACGAATACATGATCAATAAAACTCTCCGATCCCGGGCTGGAGGTGAAGGTGGGAGGACAATCTCTGTGTGTGTTGGCGCTCGTCATCTCCCACCCTGCTAGAAAAGGACGTAGTCTGACAGAGCTCGGCGTCGTCTTTCGCTTTCCAAATCTGCCTGCGACGCCATCATGCGTGGAGTGGGGAAGCCCACCGTTCAAGTCAGTAGGACTGAATGGTGATGCACCTGTTTCTCTGGAAAAAAAAGACATTGCTTCACTGAGTCAAATATTCAACTGGTCCAGTGTAAGTTCATATACAAGTCGGGCAGCTCGGGTAGTCTCGCGTGGGGGATAATACACAACGCAAGCTCCGTACATAATACCTCCTCTCCGTAACAGAAGCCCATTCGACAGGACACTCCGCATCACCGAGCCACCGAGGAGGACCACCGAGCTCGCTGTAGGTTCAAAGTGTAACTGAACCCATCTTCAGACATGAAGGGGCCATCGGCGAAACACTGGGGACTCTTGGGCTGCTCACGTTGGCGGCGCGCACAACGGGGTAGGGGAAGGGGGGAGGGCTTCCCAGAAGAAGGCTGAGGCCCGCGCCTCCTGAGAAGCGGGGGGGGCCTCCAGGAAGCCTTCCGCCCTCCCCCTGGCCCCCCCTGTGTGCGCGTGGTCGGTTATGGGAGAGCCCGCTGCCCCAGAAGCCGGCATCGGGCGGGGTCGACCCCCCGGGCCACTCGCCCTCCCACGCCTGGGGTCCCAGCCCTCTGGCCGCCCCCGCGACCGGGGTCTCGACCCCAGGGCCGCGCGAGAACCCAGGAGCTTCGCCGCTGGGTGGGCACCTCGCACGAGCAAGCAGTCCTGGCGAGGGAAGCTTGGGAGTAAGAGTGCCCACCGGCCGGAAGGTGCGAGCAGAAACATGAAATAGGAATGCGTTGAATATAGACTGGATTTCCGCCCACCCCCTGAGGACGCGGGCGGAGGAAATACCACTCGACGTAGGAAGACGCCTGGAGCACAGTGGGACTCGGGCACCCACATGCACATGGCGGATGTCGGAAACCCGGAACCCAAAAACGCTTTCGTCTCTCAGGGGCGCATCTTTTACTTCCTTTTTTTCAACACTACGCCCGCAAGTCTTAGCAACAGGGCGTCTCGGGGCGGGCCTCGCTAAAAAAACAACCGAAACCGGCGCGACGGAAACACTTAAGATCCAGTCGGGGGGCCAAGAGGAAGCAAGTACGGGGACCGCCGGGGACGAAGAAGGCGGACCGGCCCCATCTCCATCACCAACGTGCCACCCCTACGTGCTCCCACCTCTGTGGGAGCATCTTTTACCTCCGCCGACTTCCGCCAGCCTTCCGCCGGCAGCAGCGGCCTCGTCTCACCTCCGCCAAACCTCCCGCCGCCCTCTCCGCGGCCCTCCGCCGAGGGGGCGAGAGATGCCAGCTCCCTCGATCCTCGAAGGCGAGGCCCATGCTGGACCGCCCCAGTTGCAGTCGGGCCGCTGACAGAAGGAACGCTAATAAAGGGGCCCCAGGACACACACATAAATACACACAAATAAAATGATTCCCCATATTTTCCCATATGTTCTGGGTTTCTGTCTTCACCCCCACTTCCCATATTTTCCAATATTTTCTGGGGAATCGAAGATTAATTGTGTCTGTGTGTTTTATTCCCTCCTGAGCTAAGTAAGGAATGACGCCCCTTTTTGGCCCCAAAACAGCCTTCCTTCACGAGGAGGGCCTGGAGGAACAGCCATGGAAGGACCTCAGGAACAGCGGAGCCCCTTCCGAATCCATGCCGTTCCTGATTTCAGCGCTTTGACCGTACATGTACCAACTCCGGACGACCAGCGTGCACCCCGCCCCATCCGCAAGGGCGCTGCTGCTCGTCCAGCTCGCGCCCACGCTTTTTGGACGCCCGAAATGGGTACGAAATGAATGGGTACGATGCCCAGCAGCACATCTTGTCCCAAACCAACAGCGGCCGCTGTTGGGCAGGCGGCCTTCTGTCTCAAATGGGCACAGGCCGCGGCGGCGTGGACAGCGAGGCTGTTTCAAAATGGATAGGAACTGCTGTTGGGCTGGCGGGGCGAACAAAACAAAACTGCATGTTGTTTGTGTTTTGTGTTGTTTTACGTGTTGTTTGTATGTTTTGCGTGTTTTGTATGTTTGTTTGTGTTTGTTTTGTGTGTGTGTGTGTGTGAATGTGTGTGTGTGTGAATGTGTGTGTGTGTGAATGTGTGTGTGCGTGTGCGTGTGCGTGTGCGTGTGCGTGTGCGTGTGCGTGTGCGTGCGTGCGTGCGTGTGCGTGTGTGCGTGCGTGCGTGCGTGCGGTGTGCGTGCGTGCGTGCGTGCGTGGGTGCGTGCGTGCGTGCGTGCGTGCGTGCGTGCGTGCGTGTGTGTGTGTGTGTTTGTGTGTGTGCGTTTTTGTGTGTGTGTGTGTGTTTTTGTGCTCGCTGGCCGCGAGCACGCGCGGCGGGCCGGGCGGCGCGCCGGCGCCTCCCGCGCGAGCGAGGCGAGGGCGGAGGCCATGGCCTCGGGGCGGCGGGCTCGTGGCCCTGCCCGGGCCCTGCCAGCTCCAGGAAGAGGCTCCGTCCAGAGGGAATACAAAGCGGACTCCTTCTCCTCATCTTCCTCATCTTCCTCCTCCTCCTCCTCCTCCGCCTCCTCCGCCTCCTCCGCCTCCGCCTCTTCCGCCTCCTCCTCCTCCTCCTCCTCCTTCTCCTCCTCCTCCTCCTCCTCCTCGGCCTCCTCCTGCTCGAAGCGCACTCGGCTGGCTGCGCCGCGCCGCCCCCCGCCCCGGCCATGGGCCCGAGGCGCGTCGCGAGGTCCGACGCGGGCGGCAAGGGCGGGTAGCGTGAAGGCTCAGTCTGGAGGAGGGTTGGACAGGACACGCGAGAGGACACCTTCTCTTCCCTCCTCCTCCTCCTCCTCCTCCTCCTCCTCCTCCTCATCATCATCATCATCATCATCATCATCATCATCAACATCATCATCATCGTCATCCTCGTCAGCAGCAGCATCCTCATCCTCATCCTCATCCTCATCCTCATCCTCATCCTCATCCTCATCCTCATCCTCATCCTCATCCTCGTCCTCATCATCCTCATCCTCATCCTCATCCTCCTCCTCCTCCTCCTCCTCATCATCATCATCATCATCAACATCACATCACCATCATCATCATCATCATCATCATCATCATCATCATCATCATCATCATCATCATCATCATCATCATCATCATCATCATCATCATCATCACATCATGTCCTCCTCCCCCTCCTTCTCCTTCTCATTCCCCCCTGTACCCTTCCTCCTTCTCCTCCTCCTCCCCTCCTCCTCCCTCTCCTCCTCATCTTCTCCCTCCTCCTTGTCCTCCTCCTCCTCCTCCTCCTCCTCCTCCTCCTCCTCCTCATCGTCATCGTCATCATCATCATCATCATCATCATCATCATCATCATCATCATCATCATCATCATCATCACCATCACATCATCATCATCATCATCATCATCATCATCATCATCACATCATCATCATCATCATCATCATCATCATCATCATCATCATCATCATCATCATCATCATCATCATCATCATCATCATCATCATCATCATTCCCCTCCTCACACCTCTACAACTACACAATAATACGTATACTACTCGCCCCTTTCCCCAGAAGACGTCCTCAAACGAGGCCCGCCCACCTCCGCGAACGGCTGCGGGGGCTGATTCGACAGGACACGCGAGAGGGCAGAAGGCCCTTCTGTGGGCAAGATTGCCATAGGGGAAGCAACAGGCATGAGTCGCGAGGCACGGGACACCAGGGCACCCTTGATGTGGGAGGGTCGGCCTACTGATGAGGGCCGACTGTAAGGCCAGATGGAGACCGGGCACTCAGTGCGGACTTACTCCGCATGGACTTTGCATCATGCCAGGAGAGGCGAAGTCCAGACGGGCCGAGTCCGTACGGAATCCGAGCACTCGGTGCGGACTTGCTCCGCATGGGCTCAGCATTTTCCCAGGAGAGGCGAAGTCCAGACGGAGTAAGTCCATACGAAGACCGAGCACTCCATATGGACTCATTATAACATAATGAGTCCATGCGGAATGAGTCCATATAATATATGGACTCATTATATGGACTCATTCCGCATGGACTTAGCATCCTCTGAAAGCTTCTCTCTCCCACACTCCCTGGGGGGCGTCCGAGAAGGGGAGCGTCCAGGGCGGGAGGTCACAACTCATGCCTCGAGGCACGTGCGCGGCTCGGGGGGGCGGGCAGGGGACGCATGGAAGCAGGACGAGGCGCAATCTGGGCGCGGCTCCTGTCCGTCTGTCGCGATGAGATCGGGGGGGGGGGATATCACGGCCCAGCCCATGATATCCCTGGGGGAGTCTCATGGCCGAACCCATCACATCCCCCCCCCAATCGTCACCGCCCCTCCTGGCCGCTCCCGACTACCGCTCCTTCTCCGAGCGTATCAGGGGGCCCAACACCCTGTGGTGACAGACCGCGCGGAGGCCTCGGAATCCACAACGACCCCACCCCACCGCGCGGTCCGTCACCGCACGGCGTTGGGACTCTGGAGGCCCCGGTCGCCTACGTACCTGAGACGTCCTCGAAGAACGATCCGAGTCCCAAAACCGTGCGGTGACCCCGACTCCACGATGACGCACCTCGCGGTGTGGTCACCACACCCCCTGGGGACCCTCGGAACACGCTCTCGCGCCGTTGCAGCAACCAGGGCGTCGTGCGGTTTTTGAGTCGTGCTCGACATCCGGGGGCCCTCGCCAGGCCGGGGACCGTCAATGAACGGCTCGGGATGAAAAACAGGCCCAGAGTCGGGATTTGGCAGAATCGGGTTTCGTGAGGCCTGGTTTGGTGATGTCTGATGGGGGACGCCCCCCCGCCCCGTTCCACTCACCGGAACTGCCGTCACCGGAGAAAACACCAGCTACGGCAGACCTGGTTTGGTGATCCTGGCCAACTTAGGGGCTCCGGGGCCCTACTACTAACCGGGTCCCCTTACCTGGGGTCCTGGCTAAAAAGGTCGGGACCTCGGGGGGCCCCGCATCGGAAACAGAAAACCTCCAAGAGACCTCCAGAGAGGCCTCCAGCGAGGCCGGAAGAGGCCCAAGGCTTCGGAAAAGATTAGACATCGGACGTCTGGGTCTCGTCTCCATCCTCCTCCTCACCATCGAGGCGTGGGAGTGCAAGAATGCCTTGACGGCGCCCACGTGCCAGGACTGCCGCTCGTGGGAGCCCAGGCTTCGGCCCAAGAGTGCCCCGGAAGGCTGCCAGGACTGCTCCACGGACTTCCAAGGGGTCTCAAGATGAGGCAGACGAGGGACCCCAAGGGCGGCGTCAATGGGCCCAACGGCCACAAGAGGCCCCATCGGCCCCAAAACCCAACCAGAACTCGCGATGTCAAGGCTGCTGCTTTGCACACCCTTCGGCCTGGGATGATTTCGAGCACGGCTTTTTCTCCGAAGGAGCCTCCAGGACGGCGCGAGCTAGGCTGAAGAGGACCCAGCTGCCCCCCAGGGACGGCAGGAGAAGGCCGAAGAGACGGCCCAAAGGGGCCCCTGGAGATCGAACGGCCCCAGGGCCCCTCCCCACGCCACGCTTTCAAAGAGGAGGAAGTTCCCCCACAGCCCTCAGAGCCTTCTCGATCGCCTGAAGAATTACGTTTACGTATTGTTTTTACCTATTGTATTTACGTTTACGTATTGTTTTTACGTATTGTGTTTATGTATTGTTTTTACGTGTTGTCATTACGTATTGTTTTATTTTCGCACGGTTAACATTTATTTTCTCACGGTTAAGAATTACCATTGCGTCGAGAACCGCAGAAGCAAGCCAGAAAGAAGCAGGTCCTCCGGTGCAGCTGCCTGACGATAATCCACCAGGGAGACGCACGATTCGAGTTCTGGGAACCCGACTTGCCTGACGGGGCCGTCAGAAACGCAACAGGGGCTAATCTGAAATTCTTCACGCTTCGCGTATCCCCACCAGCCCATCTCAAAACAGCAACTCTTGCGAAGCATGCCGACAATCGTGTTTTTCAGGCGTGTTTCCGCCTGCCCCCGCATATCTCCCCTGTTCCTCCTTCCTCCCGCCTCCTTGTACATCCTCCTTGTGGTGGGAGCGGGAGAAGGACGAGGCGGAGGAGGAGGGAGAGAAAGCGGTGGGAGGCAAGAGGGATTTAGCGGAGACGACGACCACAGCGATGATCCTAACAACGACGACGCACCCGACGACGACGACGATATCGACCGCGACGACGACGACGACCACAACCGCGACGACGACGACGACGACGACGTCGACGACGACGACGACGAAGGCGGCGGCGACGACGACGACGACGACGACGACGACGACGACGACTGGTGGGAGTCGTTGGGGCCCCTCGTGGGGTGAGTCGTTCGGCCCCATCGTCCTTGTGTGAGTCCTTCGGGCCCCTCTTCCTGGTGTGAGTCGTTCGGGCTCCTCGTGGTGTGAGTCGTTCGGGCCCCTCGTCCTGGTGTGAGCCGTTCGGGCTCCTCGTGGTTTGAGTCGTTCGGGCCTCTCGTCCTGGTGTGAGTCGTTCGGGCCCTTCTTCCTGGTGTGAGTCGTTCGGGCTCTTCGTGGTTGAGTCGTTCGGGCTCTTCGTCCTGGTGTGAGTCGTTCGGGCTTCTCGTGGTGTGAGTTGTTCGGGCCCCTCGTCCTGGTGTGAGTCGTTCGGGCCCCTCCTCCTGGTGTGACTCGTTCGGGCTCCTCGTGGTGTGAGTCGTTCGGGGCCCTCGTCGTGGTGTGAGTCGTTCGGGCTCCTCGTGGTGTGAGTCGTTCGGGCGCCTCGTCCTGGTGTGAGTCGTTCGGGCCCCTCCTCTGGTGTGAGTCGTTCGGGCTCTTCGTGGTGTGAGTCGTTCGGGCCCCTCGTCCTGGTGTGAGTCGTTCGGGCTCCTCGTGGTGTGAGGCGTTCGGGCACCTCGTCCTGGTGCGAGTCGTTCGGTCCCCTCGTAGTAGGAGTAGTAGTAGTAGTAGTAGTAGTAGTAGTAGTAGTGTAGTAGTAGTAGTTAGTAGCAGATGAAGTAGTATTAGTAGTCATAATAGTAGTAGCAGTAGTTAGTAGTAGTAGTAGTAGTAGTAGTAGTAGTAGTAGTAGTAGTAGTAGTAAGTGTAGAAGAAGTAGTAGTGGTAGTAGTAGTAGTAGTAGTAGTAGTAGTAGTAGTAGTCGTAGTTAGTAGTAGTAGTAGTAGTAGTAGTAGTAGTAGTAAGTAGTAGTAGTAGTAGTAGTAGTAGTAGTAGTAGTAGTAGTAGTAGTAGTAGTAGTAGTAGTAGTAGTAGTAGTAGTATTAGTAGTAGTAGTAGTAGTAGTAGTAGTAGTAGTAGTAGTAGTAGTAGTAGTAGTAGTAGTAGTAGTAGTAGTAGTAGTAGTAGTAGTAGTAGTAGTAGTAGTAGTAGTAGTAGTAGTAGTAGTAGTAGTAGTAGTAGTAGTAGTAGTAGTAAGTAGTAGTAGTAGTAGTAGTAGTAGTAGTAGTAGTAG